TAATCCTTTCACACTAATCCTTGTTTACAATGAACGCATGTCAAATGACTAAATAAACATCCTTTTTTATTTTCTTAAGTAGAAGTATCACAATGGGCGGTGAACACAACTGTTTGTAGAATGATAGTTTCAGAAAGGAATACAAATACAAATATACAGAAAGGGGTTTAAAATGGTTTCTTTCTTTGCATCCACGCATTGTTGTTGTGGATGCGGTTATTTGCTGTCGGAATTGTTTTTGCAATTCAATTAGTTAATTACATGTCACATGACAACTGCATGTCACGGGGGCCTGGACATAAATCACGTGGTGCACTATTAGGCCTATTATAACCCCCAACCTTGATTTTGCATCAATTCAAAAACTCCTGAATCCTCATCGACTCCTGAACACTTAGATTTTGACGTTGTCATCTTGATCATCAGAACCATCAAAGGCGGCAAAATACAGTAAGCAACTTTTCTCCCACTTTTCAATTCAGATGTAGACAAGTACAACACGTTTAGTAATGATTTAAAAAATTGTACGAGTTTCTTAGTGTCAATAATTAGTAGAACAGACGTAAAACAGACATACGAATGGACACGTTATAGACAACAATCCTATATATTTTAGTAACAATGATTAGTTGGAGTGACCAGTATATATTTGCAAAAAATAGATTTATAAAAGTTCAGCTTATTAAGTACAATACACCCATCAAATAGAGCTGCATGTGTCAGGGACCCAATCTAGATAGCGCCAACATCTAGAACCGCTGCGCCGGAAGTAGGTAACGTTTCTAGCTCTTACGTCGAGTAAAATCAGAAATGATTCGCGTGATACATATATGATGTACATATATGTGAACAGCCTCTCGTTATTAATGCCCTTTAATTGTAGTCATCTTACTATTTGATCGTTTGTGCCACACAAAGCTATAAGTTCCGTAATAAAAATACGGAAAAATGAACAGATTAATCTCATGGACATATATTCAAAAATGGTAGCATAACGAATGAAGTAATGTTTTAATTTCCGTTCCCATAATACTGTTTAGATGAAACACCGTTAGCAACTTGAATGGGAATAAACAGTGGTAGCTGTCACTAGCCAAAGGATACTAGACTATATAAGAACAGTTTTAGCATCTCACACCGTCCCGACAGGCGCCAACCTCTCAAATATTGCACAACATATATTGATGGCGTAGTATGATATTAATATTACATTGTTTCTTGAATACTGTGCGAAGAATATTTTGTACGATGGCAAGATTCAAAACAAGTATCATTATCTTCTTTGCGAGGAATTTGGAGGTTGGAGTATTGAGAGAGGATAAGATCTGTGGATGAACAACATCACTTGCTTGATAATGGTGTTACAGCATACACCTAAGCGTCGCTCCTAACTGTAATAAAGACGTTGTTCATCAATATATCTTATCTCTACTCAGTTTTCATTATCGCTAAAATTAGACAAAACTGTAAAAATGGTTTAACATGTGTGGTAGCACAGCTAGTCCCTGTAAAATTTTCATTTAAAAAAAATAAATAAAAAATCACAGCGCACAGGGAAATTGGGCGAGGCTCAATTCGAACGGTATTCCCATGTTATGTTATGTTTTTCTGAAAATGTACATGAAGCGGATTGGTCAAGAAGTTTATATGAAGACCACTCCGGAATACAATGATTCAAAAATGCATACATGATATTGTAAATATATCTAGATTTTTAGACAGAATAATGCATAGATAATATTCCAACAGTCAGATTAACCAGATTAAACAGATTCCTCTCCGCTGGGCAAACACTGGTCTATGTAGAATCATATCGTTATCTGGGACTACGGGTTGACGAGCATCTAGATATGTGAAACTGTGAAAGAGTTGTACAATTCTGCCAGCCATGCTTTGTCTTATTCTGTTGGGTGTATGTCTTATGATGTTTTTTATGAAACTGTATGAAAGTCTTGTTGAGCCGGTAATGATCTATGGCTCTGGTATATGAGGATAAAACATTAATCTAATCCACAATGGAGCCCGTAATTATTTCTTGGTGTTAGTAACGGTACCTCCAGTATAGGCACTAATGGAGACATGGGTCTCTCCTCCCCGTTTGTTACATTACATGCTAATGTTTTTAGACTACCCCAAGATTTAATAACAGTACTTGTAACGCTTTGATGAAGAAAAAGTTTACTATGTAAAAGTCCATGGAGTACTAAAGTTGTTAAAATTGCCTGTTATCTTAATATTTATGATGTTATGAATATTATGACTGCTCCAATGTCCCGAAAGAAGAAAATTGCCCATATTAAAAACGTTCTCGTAAACAAAGATGAACTGAGCTGGAGAACAAAGCTTTGGAACGATAAACATAACGTTAAGGGCAATACATTAAGAACTTTCATGATCGTAACGTTGTTGCTCCTTATGTTTTAAATACAGGGACCACCGTCGCATTTTAGCTAGTTTTAGATCTGGATCGAAACAGGACGATTTACAACCCCCCAAACCTTTTAGAAAATAGAATCTGCCCGCACTGTTTTAAAATTGTTCATAAAAGTTTGTCGAAAATGAATTTCACTTTATTAAATGTTATGTCCTTTATGATCTGAGAAGTATTTTACTTAGATAATGGTCATCTCTTTTGAAACACGTGACGCATTCATAAAATAACTTCCTCTGTAAGGTTCACACCCAATTGTCAGACATCCCATTTGGCAGGTGACCGAATCATCAGACAGACCAGTCAAGTGTGACCAGTGTATTCGCCTGGTCTAAACTACTAATTACTGTGCTGCTCTCGACTGTGGTCAGAGTAAGCTATTCACCACTCGTTAAGTGATACAGATTAACCAGATTCCTCTCCGCTGGGCAAACACTGGTCTATGTAGAATCATATCGTTATCTGGGACTACGGGTTGACGAGCATCTAGATATGTGAAACTGTGAAAGAGTTGTACAATTCTGCCAGCCATGCTTTGTCTTATTCTGTTGGGTGTATGTCTTATGATGTTTTTTATGAAACTGTATGAAAGTCTTGTTGAGCCGGTAATGATCTATGGCTCTGGTATATGAGGATAAAACATTAATCTAATCCACAATAGAGCCGGTAAATTATTTCTTGGTGTTAGTAACGGTACCTCCATGTATAGGCACTAATGGAGACATGGGTCTCTCCTCCCCGTTTGTTACATTACATGCTAATGTTTTTAGACTACCCCAAGATTTAATAACAGTACTTGTAACGCTTTGATGAAGAAAAAGTTTACTATGGAAAAGTCCATGGAGTACTAAAGTTGTTAAAATTGCCTGTAATCTTAATATTTATGATGTTATGAATATTATGACTGCTCCAATGTCCCGAAAGAAGAAAATTGCCCATATTAAAAACGTTCTCGTAAACAAAGATGAACTGAGCTGGAGAACAAAGCTTTGGAACGATAAACATAACGTTAAGGGCAATACATTAAGAACTTTCATGATCGTAACGTTGTTGCTCCTTATGTTTTAAATACAGGGACCACCGTCGCATTTTAGCTAGTTTTAGATCTGGATCGAAACAGGACGATTTACAACCCCCCAAACCTTTTAGAAAATAGAATCTGCCCGCACTGTTTTAAAATTGTTCATAAAAGTTTGTCGAAAATGAATTTCACTTTATTAAATGTTATGTCCTTTATGATCTGAGAAGTATTTTACTTAGATAATGGTCATCTCTTTTGAAACACGTGACGCATTCATAAAATAACTTCCTCTGTAAGGTTCACACCCAATTGTCAGACATCCCATTTGGCAGGTGACCGAATCATCAGACAGACCAGTCAAGTGTGACCAGTGTATTCGCCTGGTCTACACTACTAATTACTGTGCTGCTCTCGACTGTGGTCAGAGTAAGCTATTCACCACTCGTTAAGTGATACAGATTAACCAGATTCCTCTCCGCTGGGCAAACACTGGTCTATGTAGAATCATATCGTTATCTGGGACTACGGGTTGACGAGCATCTAGATATGTGAAACTGTGAAAGAGTTGTACAATTCTGCCAGCCATGCTTTGTCTTATTCTGTTGGGTGTATGTCTTATGATGTTTTTTATGAAACTGTATGAAAGTCTTGTTGAGCCGGTAATGATCTATGGCTCTGGTATATGAGGATAAAACGTTAATCTAATCCACAATAGAGCCGGTAAATTATTTCTTGGTGTTAGTAACGGTACCTCCATGTATAGCCACTAATGGAGACATGGGTCTCTCCTCCCCGTTTGTTACATTACATGCTAATGTTTTTAGACTACCCCAAGATTTAATAACAGTACTTGTAACGCTTTGATGAAGAAAAAGTTTACTATGTAAAAGTTCATGGAGTACTAAAGTTGTTAAAATTGCCTGTAATCTTAATATTTATGCTCCAATGTCCCGAAAGAAGAAAATTGCCCATATTAAAAACGTTCTCGTAAACAAAGATGAACTGAGCTGGAGAACAGAGCTTTGGAACGATAAACATCAATGTTTAAAACTACTTTCAACTACTTGTTGCTGGCGTACGCATTTTATATTGATCAAACTGTTATTAAGATCTGTAAAACATAACGAAATACAAATTATTTCATAACATCATATAGTTGTCATAATGAAAATAGTATTAAAGCATTATTGTCACATGCAATAATTATACTGTTCGGTATCATTAGTAAACTTTGCAACCACATTATGTGAAACATTCTATAAGAGGTGAGGAAATTGAATGAAGCAGTGGTAAAATCTAACCATATATACAAAATTGTATATTTTGGAAATACCAACTATACAAAATTGTATATTTTGGAAATATCAAATATACAAAATTGTATATTTTGTATATATGGGTATTTTTTCTTGTGAGAGTAATGTCGTGTGTTTTTAGATTTGCATGTTATTAAGTATTTCATGGACAGGAAGAAAAATTATATCCTAAATATTGCTGACTGGCATAAAACACCATTCACTAACTCACTCACTTTGCCCTTTGTTGCAGCCCCCCACTCTGTGGAGGAGAAGGATGGGGCCACACCCCCTCCGGGCTTCCCTGGCCTGGAGACAATGCTGCCTCTGCTACTCACCGCTGTCAATGAAGGACGACTTACTCTCGAGGTACGGCGACATCGTGACACACATCTGCAGATATCTGTCACTGTTCTTTCATACAGAAGAAGAGTGTCTTTGGCCCTGCATTTCGTTGTGTAGAGTTGTATCCCTTAGGCGAGCCAGAATCCTATGATTGTGGTTTCGAAACCTGAGACGTCTTGATTATGTTTCTAGGTTTGTCAGCATCATACCCATGTTAAGATCTGCATCACGTGCCTCCCCACACCAGTACCTTGGTGTAACTGAAATACTCACTCTTCCATATTGTGGATTGGGTGGTCAGACTCAGTAGCTTGGTTCATAGCATGTCATCATACCCCAATGACGGGTATCCAATCACTGGTTTCTCTGGTTCAGGCTAGATAATTTAGGAGACACTGTCCCACAACCAAATTTATTTTAGTTATTTTTTTTATTAAAGTGACGATCTGAATGGGTTTTTTTGTTGTTTTTTTTAATTATATATATTTTTTATTTAAATTGCTCCTACAATGGAAATATTGCTGAGTGTGGAGTTAAACAACACACACATACAGTGCACATGTCGGAGAACAAGCTATTAACTATTTGTACCTGTAGTGCAGTAGTATCGCAATAGTGTTTAAATGTCACATTATTTATGCAATTCTAAGAAAGCCATCAATGAGTGTTCTACATAAATGTCTCCCATCATATACAGGACATCATCAGCCGTCTCAGTACAAACCCGCGTCGCATCTTCAATCTGCCGGAGCAGCCGGACACATACATCGAGGTTGACCTTGATCACAAGTGGACAGTCCCCAAGGCCATGAAGTTCACCAAGTCTAAGTGGACACCATTTCAGGGGATGAATGTCGTCGGAGCCGTGCGGAGAGTTGTGTTGAGAGGGGAGGTGGCTTACATTGATGGGGAAGTAAGTTGCAGAATGACAAGCAGCCGTCTTTTATGGTAGCATTTGAGTCTCAGGGAGATGAGTTAGCCTTGTGGTGAAAGGGTTCACAAGAAGCTCAGGAAGTGTTTGATTCCATACATTGAAAGTGCTTCAGGGAGCTTGGGTAATTGACACACTTCACCCTTCATTGAGCAGGGTTTTCCTTAATCGTAGTGCTACGATTGTCGTAGGTCTTAAGTCCAAGTTATGGCTTTGCGACAGTCGTAAGTCTTTGTCATAGTAAGGGCGTTACAACGATAGTAAGTCTATGTCATAGTAAGGATATTATGACAGTTGTAAGTCTATGTCATTGTAAGGGCATTACAACGATAGTAAGTCTATGTCATAGTAAGGATATTATGACAGTCGTAAGTCTATGTCATAGTAAGGGCGTTACAACGATAGTAAGTCTATGTCATAGTAAGGATATTATGACAGTCGTAAGTCTATGTCATAGTAAGGGCGTTACAACGATAGTAAGTCTATGTCATAGTAAGGATATTATGACAGTTGTAAGCCTATGTCATTGTAAGGGCATTATGATGGTCATAAATCTAAGTCACAGTAAGGGTGTTATGATGGTTGTATATGATGGTCGTAAGTCTAAGGTCTGCAAGGTATGTGAACAATATGTATTCAAATCAAATGCATGATCATTGGTAGAGGCCATTCCTGGTGTCTTCAGATGTAATATTCATAAGTAAATACAAACTCCTCCACCCCATCTTAACCTGCAGGTTCTGGCTGCGCCCGGATATGGCATTGATGTGAAGACACTACCCCAACCTGTCACGCCCAAGATAGCGACGGAACAGTTGTCAGTCCACATCCCTGCCATGCCTTCGTCCCTGCCATCATCGGAGCCGGCGAGTCCCCGCCGGACCATCATGGACAAGTTTCCACTTCCCCCCCGCCCCTCCCGCACCTTGGAGGGTCAGCCTCAGCCAAGTATGTTTGTGTGTTGCCCATCATGATTGTTGCTTCAAGCTCATCCCTCATCTTGTGCTGCTCCTTGACATTGAGACGTGCAGAATTGATTTTGTTTCTGTTTTGTTTCATCCCAAGTGCTTTAACATTAGACATTGACTAATCCTCCAGAAAAGAGTGTGAGTGAGTTTGATTTTACGCTGCTTTTAGCAATATTCCAGCAATATCACAGCAGGGGACACCAGAAATGGGCTTTCCACATTGTACCCATGTAGGGAATCGAACCCGGGTCTTCGGCTTGACGAGCTAACGCTTTAACCACTAGGCTACACCCCTGCCCTCTTCAGAAATGATGTGATACTGATAATCGTGAAAGTTTGTATTTATGTATATAAGTTAAATAGTTAATATCAGCTGGTTTAGATGAGGGCAAGTTTATACACTTATATTGCAAGTTTTCTTAGAGAAAAAAAGAATCAAGTAGAGAGATTTCATTTACTTCCAGTAAACAATTGGGTGGTGTTTTGTTTTCAGTATACTGCTAAAAAAACATGAAATATTCTTTTACAAAACATGCCAGGTTTATGAATCATGTCCTAAAGTGGTACCTTTATTTTGAAATTTTTAGGAATATTTCCCCACTGTTTCCATGGAGACAAACTGGACTTGGTGTTTTTGTGAGAGCCGAATTTGAAAGCCTTGTAATATCTTGATCAAGACTTTGAAAATGTGTTTCAAGTAAAACAAAGATTCTTTGATCAGGTTGTGTGATATCTTTTTGTCATATTGACAGTTGTCAGGAAGTGTTTTTATCATGGGATAAACATCTGAAAATGCTGAAAAATGACTCCCCTTGTTTTAAATATATAGGGTACTAGCCCTGTGGTTATAATGTTGGCTACACATCGCTAATGACAGCATAAAACTGACCTGATCTGATTGTTTAGACCGGTACGAATGTGGTCATGGTCAGAAGGAGATAAGCCATATTGCTTTTAAGATTGAAACTGAAATGGCTCAACATATCTGTACTGTGATATGGGATATTTATCATCTTCATTGAGGAAAATCAATACAATTCTGTTTCCGAAAACACTATATGATATGAAATGCACTTTGATCGTTATCTCACAGTACAGCATAGGATGTAAAATAAAATTGAATAAAAATGAATAAAAATTAGAAACTATTTCTATATGTTTTGGGGATAAAAACATGTTCATTATTTCTCGAAATGTTCTTGAGACTATTAATTGTTTATCTTTAATAAGTCCTTTGCACATACTTAATTATACCCCTGACAAAATGTCTGTCCGTCCGTCCGAAAACTTTGTACGCGCGATTTCTCTTAAACTATTCAGGGGATTGATCTCAAACTTAGTACATATAATCTGTGTCATATGGAGGAGTGCAGTCAAAAAGAAAAATATTGTTTTTATTAATTTTCCATTTTTTTATGAAGTTTTCAAACCCTAACGTCCGTCCGAAAACTTTGTCCTCGCGATTTCTCTTAATCTATTCAGTGGATTCATCTCAAACTTAGTACAATTAATCTGTGTCATATGGAGGGGTGCAGTCAAGAGAAAAAAATTGTTTTTATTAATTTTCCATCTTTTTATGAATTTTTCAAACCCTAAGTTACCCTATCCTAGCTATTTAATTTGTAACTACTGACACACTAGGCGGGTCGGGGGTGAGCCACGCTCACTTTTGCACTTGTTCCTGCTGTGATAGCCGTCCCCAGCCAGCTATAAATTCAAACTAACGATGTCTTGCTCTAACATGTTTGACTCCCGTGTGATGTCCGTGAGTTCTGTGTTTGTGTCCTCAGTCGGAGATTCCCCAGAGCACATGCACAAGGAGCTGAAGCCAGGTGAGTGGTCTCCCTTTTTTCCCACAGCTCATTCCACTTTGTTGCATAGCAACCGCAGCCTAACTTGTTACCTGTCTGTAGGAAATTTACTTTTTGTTATTCGTCACTTGTTATTTGAACAGCAATATGTCTCAATATGCTGCTTAGCTACAAACTGTCATGGTAATTTGCTCCATCAATATTCGTAATTATTCCATTACGTTTATCTATTTCCATATTTGATAGTTTCTAGATGAAATGATATGGTTTTTTGAGGGGGCCAAATTTTCTAAGGTGCCACAATTCACAGTACAGGGCTGTGTCCCTTGGGCAACCAGAATCCTATGATCATGGGTTCAAATCCCTGATTATGTTTCTTTGTTTGTCAGCACCGGGCTAGTATTTATGGGTTTCACCAAAGTGGTAAACATCTTAGACCCTCAATGCTTCAGGTTTTTATGACACATTAAGCTGACCATCTTCCCAAGGCAAGGGCGTTAACTGACTACAAAAGTCCAGTTTCCAACCTTGACGAACTAGGCTGGAATTCCGGAATTACAGTTTGGCTGGACTAAGGAGTCTAAATTCGCTCGACTGCAAGATTTGCTAAGCATGTGTACCGTCAACTGGGCGTCGACAGATATTTTGCAAATCTTTTCATGTTTTTAATCAAGGTGCTCAAGTGATTTGAAGCACTTTGTGGGGTAGGACCCGTTGATAGATCTTGATTATCAATCAGATTGTCTTCACTGGGGTGGGTGCCATTTTGTTTGAAGCAATGCAAGTGATATGACAGATGGAGTCTGATTGGTCAATAGGAGTTACATAGAAGGGACATAACTCGTAATAGCCACTGGTGGTGCTACGATCAAGCCTGGTAGTATCAGCCTAACTAAGACAAAATTGTTATGGATGAGCAACTTCTTTATTACAATTGGGCGACGTTTCGGTGTAGATTCTAAAACCGTTATCAAGCAAATGCCATCCATAACAATTTTGTCTTAGTTACCATTCCAACTTCTAAATGCCACTCAAAGAAGTATCAGCCTAGTTTGGCAAGGGTGGAAACTGGACTTGTAGTCTGTTAACTCCCTTGTCTCTGGAAGATGTGAGCTGACATGACGGTAATACTGATCAAAGCATGTCTGACGGGGGAGACACAGGTGGAGGCACAGGGGGAGAGACACAGGTGGAGGCACAGGGGGAGAGACACAGGTGGAGGCACAGGGGGGGAGACACAGGTGGAGACACAGGGGGAGAGACACGGGGAGACACAGGTGGAGGCACAGGAGGAGAGACACAGGTGGAGGCACAGGGGGAGACACAGGTGGAGACACAGGGGGAGAGACACGGGTGGAGGCACAGGGGGAGAGACACAGGTGGAGGCACAGGGGGAGAGACACAGGTGGAGACACAGGGAGAGACACGGGGAGAGGCACAGGTGGAGACACAGGGGGAGACACAGGGGTGGAGGCACAGGGGGAGAGGCACAGGTGGAGACACAGGGGGAGACACAGGGGGGGGGGCACAGGGGGAGAGACACAGGGGGAGAGACACAGGGGGAGAGACACAGGGGTGGAGACACAGGTGGAGGCACAGGGGGAGAGACACGGGGAGACACAGGGAGAGGCACAGGTGGAGGCACAGGGGGAGACACAGGTGGAGGCACAGGGGGAGAGACACAGGGGGAGACACAGGTGGAGGCACAGGGGGAGACACAGGGGGAGACACAGGTGGAGACACAGGTGGGGAGACACAGGGAGAGGCACAGGGGGAGACACAGGTGGAGACACAGGTGGAGGCACAGGTGGAGACACAGGGGGAGACACAGGGAGAGACACAGGGGGAGGCACAGGTGGAGACACAGGGGGAGACACAGGGAGAGGCACAGGGGGAGACACAGGTGGAGACACAGGTGGAGACACAGGGGGAGGCACAGGGGGAGAGACACAGGTGGTGACACAGGGGGAGAGACACAGGGGGAGACACAGGGGGAGAGACACAGGGGGAGAGACACAGGGGGAGAGACACAGGGGGAGACACAGGTGGAGGCACAGGGGGAGGCACAGGGGGGGACACAGGTGGAGACACAGGGGGAGAGACACAGGTGGAGGCTGGAAAGGCATCATGTCAGATATTAGTTATTGTATTAAAGGGAGTGATTAGTTGCTGAACAGCATATGAGACATCTTGAAAAGTTCAGATGATTTTTATTATTATATAACATCTTTCTCAATGTACCTTCTCTGCCTAGCTAAGTGTAATAGTTTCATTGCACATTCAAACACAGCATGTAGCTGGATTTATTTCAATAATTTCAAAGTGATTTTAATGATTTAATGCAGATTTTTTAATTGCACATAGTTTATCTAACAAGTTTCTGACATAGTTTTTTTCTATTCATAGATTTATATGCATATATGTAACCATCAAATTTAGTTTGGAGGCTAGGGTAGTAGTATTGTCTGCAAACTCTCAATTACGTTTCCATCCCACTGAAGTATATTCTTAACATGCCAGATTATGATTTGGATTCCCAAATAGTGTTGAATAGATCAACCATTTTCAAGGTCAATAGTGAATGCTACTGAAGGCTTCCAGACCTAGTGTTGCCATGTGACCTCATTCATATAATTCTGTTGCGCTTAATCAACATACTGATACTGCATTATGGCAAATCAAACCATTTATCAAAAAAGTCAATTGAACAAGTTAGCTCCTTTGATCTGGCTATCGACAGTATTTATTGAGGAAAAAATAATTTTTCATCCAATGACAAAGCCGTGTTTAATTGGTTGCCAGACAACACTATTTTACCCTTGACCTGTTTTTATATTTCGTGAGTGTTGCTTTACTAGTTGGCTAAACATTTGCCCCTTCATTTCCTCTCACCTCACCAGCAGCTGTCTCTAGCCTGCTAGAGAGTCTTACAGGTAACCATGTAGAACCATGTAGAACAGAGTACCCTATTTTCTTGAGTATAGTGCACACTTTTTTTTTAAAAAACACACCTGTGTAGAAGGGGGTGCGCATTGTACACGAAATAATGAGTTTTGATGTTTTTTTCCCCATGGAAAGATATTACGGTGAGCACGTAACACCGGAAATACCATGTCAACAAATCCATACTGAAGTACGCAAAATCTTCATGTAATGACACTGTCTGGCTATAAAAAGTTTCTTTGTATATCTGGACTTATGTTTGTAACTTACTTCATTAATTCTTTTCAAAATTCTTTTTAATAATGTTTTAATTAATTTTGGCAAAATCGTGTGTGAAGCGATCTTCCGATCGCACAACTCACCATTATTAACAGCAACCACGGTCAGATTACCCCTATTGACGCCTTGAAACAAACTTTAGTTGACAGAGAATGGATACATATATCATAAATGCCATACTTTGACTCGTTAAAAGTCATATTTGTTATAGTTTGACGATTCTATGTCAACACGTAGTTCTTGCGATCACGTGTCCGAGGGGGCCTTGACGGTGACTGGTCAGACTGGTTCCATGTGAAAAATAATAACCGGCAATAGCAATCAGCTGCTTCGCTTACGGTTATTATTATTATCTTAAATATGTTTCGTAAAAGCTGCAACTAAATTAACAAGATATTGGAATATATTATTCCTGACAAAAAATAGTTTCAGATACAATTTTTGCCGATCCTTGCATTAAAATCCTGTAAAGTTATATCATTGGGTATGTCTTGACCGAATCACCGGTAGATTCCAAGAAAACATGTGTACAGCTGATTGCTGTTTCCGTCTTAGATTACGAGAAAATACAGAAGGTAATCTTAATCCCTGGATGTAAAACAATGCCTAGCAGAACAAAAAATACAATTTAAATGGTAAATCAACATGTCTGGTGATTTTTTTATCTCAAATTTCGAATGTGTACTGACCAAGTTTCTCGTCTCCCGTTCGTTTACCGAAATTCGCTGAAGGGGTAGTATACAGTGTAATTTTTTTCTGCGCTTGATATTTCAAAAAAAATATTTCTAAAATACTGAATCCGCTAGAGGGGGGTGCGCACTATACTCAAGGAAATAGGTAGCTGTTGCAGCCACCACGCTGTCCTAGTCTAGTCCTGCTTCTAGAGCACCAGCATGTCATGTTTCACTTAAGTACAACTCAGATCTGTGGTCGATTTTCTGACATGGAGAATTGTGGATCTGGGATGTCAGGAGATGTTTTTGCGTTATGTCCACAGGCTGAGTTACAGTTTGTTTAAATCTGACTACTTTGATCTGAAAATATAACAGACCTAAACACAGTAAAGGGTGGCCAAGGTCTGGGATAGCATTGTATTCGATAGTAACAAAATATGTTGCTTTTTGCTGTTTCATCTGCAAATTTGTGCCTTCTTGTGGACTTTTTGATCTATTGATATTAGTTTTATTGGTAAAGGGGGAAAAAATGGGGTATTGGTAATGGGGAAAAAATGGGGTATTGGTAATGGGAAAACAAGAACAAACAGCAAGAATAAAATGGGCAACTTGATTTAATTGTGTCTTCCCGCCATGAAAGACAATATTCCAAAGAATGGAAATTCGTCCCAGATCCGAGTCCTGGATTTCTGTACTCTGGTCCATGGTTTTAACATCATGTAGATTCATGTGACTAATGTCCCCGGCATGAGGGAATGTATCTGTACGGTATTCAACATCTGTAGTGTCCTTGACCTATTTGTACATATTCAACATCTGTAGTGTCCTTGACCCTTGTAATGGCGATGTGGACGTGTGGTTCTTGAGTTAATGCATTCTATAAACAATACTAACAATAAGACTTTCCACCTTACTGTTTTCATATCTGGAAACTAACATTTAGTCTGTTATTAATATTACTTTATGTTGTGACGCTTTAATTAAAGATGATATTGTATGTTTATTTGTCCCCAAAGACTAGGTCCCTCCCTTCACTGTCATCTTGTTTGTGCCTTGGCACCTGCGTGGGATGTCATGTATGGCTGCATGTTGTGTGATGCTGGCTTGAAGATGACTGCAGCATAAAACAACATAAAACTCCCCATGGGGATTCCGGGTTAGAGTAGGTCCCCTGCAACAATTGATGGTCTCTCTGGGGGACTTCCGGGTAAGAGTAGGTCCCCTGCAACAATTGATGGTCTCTCTGGGGGACTTCCGGGTTAGAGTAGGTCCCCTGCAACAATTGATGGTCTCTCTGGGGGACTTCCGGGTTAGAGTAGGTCCCCTGCAACAATTGATGGTCTCTCTGGGGGACTTCCGGGTAAGAGTAGGTCCCCTGCAACAATTGATGGTCTCTCTGGGGGACTTCCGGGTTAGAGTAGGTCCCCTGCAACAATTGATGGTCTCTCTGGGGGACTTCCGGGTTAGAGTAGGTCCCCTGCAACAATTGATGGTCTCTCTGGGGGACTTCCGGGTAAGAGTAGGTCCCCAGCAAACTATGCATGTCTCCCCATGTGTATTCTGGGTTAGAGTAGGTCCCCTGCAACCTATGCATGTCTCCCCATGTGTATTCTGGGTTAGAGTAGGTCCCCTGCAACCTATGCATGTCTCCCCATGTGTATTCTGGATTAGAATAGGTCCCCAGTAAGCTGTGATGGTCTCCCCATGTGTATTCCGGGTTAGAGTAGGTCCCCAGCAACCTATGCAAGTCTCCCCATGTGTATTCTGGGTTAGAATAGGTCCCCAGCAAGCTGTGATGGTCTCCCCATGGGATTCTGGGTTAGAATAGGTCCCAAGCAAGCAGTGATGGTCTCCCTATGGGTATTCTGGGTTAGAATAGGTCCCCAGCAAGCTGTGATGGTCTCTCTATGGGTATTGCGGGTTAGAATAGGTCCCCAGCAAGCTGTGATGGTCTCTCTATGGGTATTGCGGGTTAGAATAGGTCCCCAGCAAGCTGTGATGGTCTCCCCATGGGGATTCTGGGTTAGAGTAGGTCCCCAGCAAGCTGTGATGGTCTCCCCATGGGGATTCTGGGTTAGAGTAGGTCCCCAGCAAGCTGTGATGGTCTCCCCATGGGGATTCCGGGTTAGAGTAGGTCCCCAGCAACCTATGCAAGTCTCCCCATGTGTATTCTGGATTAGAATAGGTCCCCTGCAACAATTGATGGTCTCTCTGGGGGACTTCCGGGTTAGAGTAGGTCCCCAGCAACCTATGCAAGTCTCCCCATGTGTATTCTGGATTAGAATAGGTCCCCAGCAAGCTGTGATGGTCTCCCCATGGGATTCTGGGTTAGAATAGGTCCCCAGCGAGCAGTGATGGTCTCCCCATGGGATTCTGGGTAAGAATAGGTCCCCAGCAAGCTGTGATGGTCTCCCTATGGGTATTCTGGGTTAGAATAGGTCCCCAGCAAGCTGTGATGGTCTCCCTATGGGTATTCTGGGTTAGAATAGGTCCCCAGCAACCTATGCATGTCTCCCCATGTGTATTCTGGATTAGAATAGGTCCCCAGCAAGCTGTGATGGTCTCCCCATGGGATTCTGGGTTAGAATAGGTCCCCAGCAAGCTGTGATGGTCTCCCCATGGGATTCTGGGTTAGAATAGGTCCCCAGCAAGCAGTGATGGTCTCCCTATGGGTATTCTGGGTTAGAATAGGTCCCCAGCAAGCTGTGATGGTCTCCCCATGGGATTCTGGGTTAGAATAGGTCCCCAGCAAGCAGTGATGTTCTCCCTATGGGTATTCTGGGTTAGAATAGGTCCCCAGCAAGCTGTGATGGTCTCCCTATGGGTATTCTGGGTTAGAATAGGTCCCCAGCAAGCTGTGTTGGTCTCCCTATGGGGATTCTGGGTTAGAATAGGTCCCCAGCAAACTGTGATGGTCTCCCCATGTGTATTCCGGGTTAGAATAGGTCCCCAGCAAGCTGTGTTGGTCTCTCCATGGGGATTCCGGGTTAGAATAGGTCCCCAGCAAAATATGCATGTCTCCCCATGGGGATTCCGGGTTAGAGTAGGTCCCCAGCAAGCCATGATGGTCTCCCCATGGGGATTCAGGGTTAGAATAGGTCCCCAGCAAGCTGTGATAGTCTCCCTATGGGTATTCTGGGTTAGAATAGGTCCCCAGCAAGCTGTGATGGTCTCCCTATGGGTATTCTTGGTTAGAATAGGTCCCAAGCAAGCTGTGATGGTCTCCCCATGGGGATTCTGGGTTAGAATGGGTCCCCAGCAAGCTGTAATGGTCTCCCTATGGGTATTCTGGGTTAGAATAGGTCCCCAGCAAGCTGTAATGGTCTCCCCATGGGGATTCTGGGTTAGAATGGGTCCCCAGCAAGCTGTGATGGTCTCCCTATGGGTATTCTTGGTTAGAATAAGCCCCTAGCAAGCTGTGATGGTCTCCCCATGGGGATTCTGGGTTAGAATAGGTCCCCAGCAAGCTGTGATGGTCTCCCCATGGGGATTCCAGGTTAGAATAGGTCCCCAGCAAGATGTGATGTTCTCCCGATGGGTATTCTTGGTTAGAATAAGCCCCTAGCAAGCTGTGATGGTCTCCCCATGGGTATTCTTGGTTAGAATAGGTCCCCAGCAAGCTGTGATGGTCTCCCTATGGGTATTCTGGGTTAGAATAGGTCCCCAGCAAGATGTGATGTTCCCCCGATGGGTATTCTGGGTTAGAATAGGTCCCCAGCGAGCTGTGATGCTTGCCATCGTACCCTGAAGGCTTGGATCGTTGCTTACCCAATCAATCACTGGATTGTTTGGTCCATAGTATGCTTTTTATAGCCTGCCATAAAATAGCTAAAATATTGCTGAGCACGGCTTTGAAACACAAACACAAACATATTTTGGCATGCACATAAACAGCAAGAAGATATTTATCAAAACATCCTGCTTTCCTGGTGGTGATGGCTAAACACTTCATTTGATCGCAACATGTATATGACGTTACACAATGGGTGCGCGAGTAAGACATATGCATTGTACACCTCGGTGTTGTTAAGCTTATTGCCAGCGTTTATCATATACACAGCAGAACAAGCCGATTAAAATTGTTCTTCTTTTGTGCGCACTGACATTCCTCAGTACAAATTGTTCTTTCTTTCATATCGTGTGTATTTTGTTTTGTATTTTGAACTTTATTAGTAACTTTTAATTCTTCATTTGTAACATTTGACTATCATTGCAAACTTTTGTTCTTTAATTCAACTTATGTATTTTAACCAAAAGGCCACTCATATAATTATCCCCCGCCGCGCGAAAGCGCGAAGCGGGGGATATAGTATTCACGACCGTCCGTCCGTACGTCCGTACGTCCGTCCGTACGTCCCACCTGTTTGTTGCCGCGATATCTCAAGAACTAAACACTGGATTGTCTTCATATTTGGAACTATGGTGTATATACAGACTCCGCAGACACCAGTCGGTTTTGGTTACCTTGATCCCATTTTCAAGGTCACAGCAGACAAATCTGCTTTTTGAGTTGGAAAACGGTGTTGCCGCGATATCTCAAGAACTAAACACTGGATTGTCTTCATATTTGGAACTATGGTGTATATACAGACACCGCATACACCAGTCGGTTTTGGTGACCTTGACCCCATTGTCAAGGTCACAGCAGGCAAATCTGCTTTTGGAGTTAGAAAACGGTGTTGCCACGATATCTCAAGAACTAATCGCTGGATTGTCTTCATATTTGGAACTATAGTGTATATACAGACACCGCATACACCTGTCAGATTTGGTGACCTTGACCCCATTTTCAAGGTCACAGCAGGCAAATCTGTTTTTGGAGTTGGAAAACGGTGTTGCCACAATATCTCAAGAACTAATCGCTGGATTGTCTTCATATTTGGTACTATGGTGTACAGGCGGGGGATATTTCGTCACTCTGTGACAAATACTTGTTTACCATTGCATTCAGTGCGATAACTTACACGTAAAGAGGTAAAGCCTTGTCCTTTTTACTGTCCTGTTATCAGTGAAGTACCAGTATCCTGGACAGTGTCTGTTTGCATGAGTGAGTGAGTGAGTGAGTATAGTTTTATGCCGCTTTTAGCAATATTCCAGCAATATCACGGCGGGGGACACCAGAAATTGGCTTCACACATTGTACCCATGTTTGGAATCGAACCCGGGCCTTCGGCGTGATGAGCAAACTCTTTAACCACTAGGCTACCCGACCACCCTGTGTCTGTTTGCAGTTGAGTAACGTGAATAAGGGATGGTTTTATTCCAGTTTTGGAATGTTTACTGATATTTGCTGCAAACTTGGCAACTAATGTCAGCTCTGAGGAGGTCTGGAGAAACCCCTGGAATGCATCCATCCCCGGCCCCAGAGTAGGACAACCCGCCCCAGCCTGCCCTCGAAGTCATCTTAGGGCCATAGAGTCTGTCACTCATCAATTTGGATGTTGTCATAGCAACCATGATGGCCTCACTGTTTGTTTGGGGGATTCCAGTTTTTTATAAAACAGCCTAGTTGGAATGTGTGGAAAAATGAAATAATATAATATTTCATATTTATGTTTTTGATGTTTCAGATTGATTTGTTTGGTGTTATTAACATATCTGGATACCATACCATGCTTGCATACTTATATAAGCTTGTCGTTTAACCTTGTGTGACCATTAAACATGTATTGTAGAAGTTGTATAGCTTCGAAAGGAAGTATCATCATTGTGACTTTTATGTATCATGTGCATCCATAATTAGTCATATCAAAGGGTTTGGATTTGTTTTTCATAAATATAAGTGCAGTTACTTGTTGATATCTTTCATTGCTTTCAGACTGCATCATGTGTGTTTGCATGCCAGTCTTAGTGTAACAGTGTTTTGATTCCAGATCTGTATGGAGGCCATGGTGACTTCCTCCGCAAGGACTTGCCGGTCACCCCGAGGGAACAAGGCCACGCCCTGCAGCCTGTGGGGCTGCCCCACTACACCCCGGGGCTCACTAACCACCATGTGCTCTCCGTCATGGGCTTCAACAGGGAACAGGTGACACACATACAGAATCCTACTTGTCAGAGGGGTACACAAACTACAGTATTCGACGTAATAAGCGCCCAGGGTGCTCTCAAAATTAGAAATGGGGGCTCTTATTAGAATATTATTTTAGTGAAAAAAACAGAGTTTAAAGATAAATTTCGTGGTTTATGCTGACAGCCTGAAATGTTTTTATACGACAGATATATTTTTCCAGAATTTATTTGCCTATAATTAAGGGTGCATATAACACACGAGTGTGTATTATACGCGAATAAGTAAGTCTTGTGTACATTGATCAATCGTAAGGGGTGCTAACTGGGTTTGTTCACTAGCCAATATATTAGCAAATATCGCCGTGGGCGCTTATTAGAGCGGGGCGCTCATTACGTTGAATATGGTATGTGATCTGGACTACATGTTGTCGGACTTTCATTTTTGTGGAAGCCTCGGTGGCTGAGTGGGTTGGATCGCTGACTATGTGTGCTTGCGATTAGGTGCCTCACTCTGGCAGTGTGGGTTCGAATCCCGGAATCTGTACTTTACTAAGAAAGTGTTATCCTGAATATAACATACAGAATGTGGAAGAAAACAATGTAATGGCAATATGTTGCATATTTCAATATAGACCAAAGTGTCGTAATATATAATACCCAAAATTACTCTTGACGATGCCAATATGTGAAAACAAGGACCCGACCCATGAGGTGGTTTGTCCAGACCGAGGCCACAGGCCTGGTCTGAGGGTCCTTGTGTACTTTGTCAGAAGTAATCAATTGTCTTGTTTTACCGAAATTCACTTCAGATTTTAAGTCTTTAAACTGCCCTGTTTCACTACAGTGACTTAGCTGTGAACTGTGAAATTTTTGTACCAGACGCCATCTTGTTTTCTAGCTGACAATTCAATATTAATTACATGACAGGTCAATACTTGTCATGTGACGAGTCAATATTTGATATATATAAAGTCATATGATTTCAGGGTCTACATTAAAATGTATTGTTTCGGCATGTTTTACGGATTAACCAATGGAATTGCAAAAGATTCTTAATAGATGTATAACAATACAATGTGTATCTTAATACAGACCGAAAAATTGCTGTACAAGATTTTGTCATAATGCAAATGTTATATTTACATAATGTGCTATTTTACAGTTAGTATTTTGATATTTAGTCTCAGAACAAAACAATAACACCATTCTTCCCACAAATTCCGACAGAGCACATAATATCACTTATTTTCAACTGATTATTGTAAAAGTGTATACAAATTGTATGTAGTATGTATTCAGTATTCAGTATGTGTATATAGGGATTATCCAGTAGAAACTCGAGGCAGTAGTCAGAGTTTGGTAATCAACCTCATACGTACAGCACATTTCAGTCAAGATTTCCAAATTGGAATTAAGACATTCCCAATAAAGGTTCATAATTTTAATTAATGTCACAAAATTTGCCTGATGCCGGAACCTAGACTGCCTGGCAAAAGAAAGTATGTTTGATGGTGGCTAAAAACTGAAACAAACAAGAAATGATATTCAATGGTGTTGCATTTGATACGGGTATCTAACTCCCACACTCACTACTAGACATTGCATCTTCAGTAACCCGTGAAGATCTGGGTTAGAATTGGCCTTCAGTAACCCATGCTTGTTGTAAGAGGCGACTAACAGGTGGTCAGACTTGCTGACTGGGTTGATGCATGTCATTGTATCCCAATTATGTTGATCAATGCTCATGATGTCAATCATTGGATTGTCTGGTCCAGACCACCGTCTTATAGCTGGAATATTGCTGAGTGCGGTGTTAAACAACAAACAACAATCATCATCTCCAGTGTTTGTATTTCTTACTGAGTATAATTATGTCAACAGCTTCATCAGATCTTCAACCTTGCCCACAATTTCCGTGTTGCTGTGATGAGGGACCGCCCACTTGACTACATCCTCAAGGTAAATGTCCGCCATAGTTCTACGTCTGCATTGGAATATTGTCTCAGCCTTCAAGGGACTCCTCAAACACCACAAAGACACTTCCAGTAAACTGTGTTTCCTTTCAGGGATTAGTGTGGTAGCCTTGTAGTTAAAGTGCTTCCTCGTCACAACAAAATCCTTGGTTCAATCCTCTATCATAATATGGCTGTAACGATGCCTAGAGAGTCATTAGATCCAATACACTCCAGCGTCTTGTCATCAATATGCTTTCTTGATGGAGTGTGGTTCGCAGTGAAAGACTAAACTAAACTAAACTAAACATGAACTTACCTTGCAATCAGCTAAACGTGAAATCCCCTTGTAATCAACTAAACGTGAAATCCCCTTGTAATGTAATGAACAATGAAAATGTGATAAGATCAAATGAAATGGATTTGAAACTTAAAGTGAAGTTGCCGTATGGTAATTAACAATGTAAATGGGTAACTCTCTCAACTATTTCTATTCTATTCTATTTCTGTACTATTCTAATTCACTTAGGGAGAGATATCCATTTACTCCTTGCCCATATGAATGCCAGAAGCCAACTGAAATAAACTGTCTAGAGCATGCGCATTTTGCTCTCATTCAGCAAGAAGCACGTGCTGCATGCCAACTTTAACGCTTTCCGCGAAGCTGTTGTGTACCCATGAATCAACCACTGTGTCCAGGAACATGACACTTGTTCCCGGACACATGTTCCCGGACGCTTCAGAACAGAGTGTATGGTCTTGTAACCATAACCGCAACACAAGGAACCAATACATAAATACCCCTGTGGCAATTCAAGGTCAGATAAGGTCCCCAGCAACCCCCACATGTCAGAAGAGGTGACCAAGTTTATTGGATGGTCAGGCTCTGTGACTTGTTTGAGGGCATATATCTTTGTGCATTAGCGGTGTTGATCGTAGCTCGCAGTATTGACCTAGACATTGCTCCTTTATGCCTATGTTACAGATTATGAAACATATATTTAGGGGTGGGGGGAGGTTATAATTTTTAGTGCACTAATTCAGCTTACATTCAGGACCTCCATAAGCTGTACCTTGTACGTTGATTGCTGTTTCCCATCACAGTTTAGTTGATGATGTTGAAGTAACCAGGAGAGCATGTCACCATGTTTCAGGGCAAGGTGATGGCGTCGCTGTTTTACGAGGTGAGCACACGGACTAGCTGCTCCTTCTCCGCTGCCATGCAGCGTCTAGGTGGCGCTGTCGTCTCCCTCAATGAAGCCACTTCCTCCTCCAAGAAGGGGGAGACCCTGCAAGGTGAGACTGGTACACCTGTACTCTTGTAGGTACATAGCTCCATATGTGGGTCAAGCAGAGGATGGAGGGGCGAGGGTTTTGCTGAAGGGGGATGCATGCATGCATGTATGGGTACCCCTTTGAAGCATTTATATTTTTGAAGTCTCGAAGGTCATTGATTATGTGTAGACATGTTATGATACTTTGTGTGGTGGGGAAATATGGTGCCATATGAATGGCATTATTGTATTAAGTCGTTATTAGTATTATTATCTCTGCTTGGTATAACCGATATACAAATGTACCAGTTATAACGTTGCTGTTTTCAGATACCGTGGCCATGATGTCTGGGTATGCAGACGTCATCGTGATTCGACACCCTGAGCCTGGGGCAGTTAGTGTAAGTCCTTCAGAGTTGCATCCCTTAGGTGTGCCAGGATCTGAAGATCATTGGTTCCGATCCATTTGTGATCTTTAGTATCTCCCCACCATGCCTGCGCTTGTGGTAAACGTCTTTGATCTACAAGTAGTTAACGGTAAAGGTCTATTATTGGCCTCACCCAGTTGGGGTCAGGGTTATAATAGCTCCCCAGTTACCTGTGCTTGTTGGGGCGGTGGGGTAACCTAGTGGTTAAAGTGCTCGCTGGTCATGCCGAAGATCCAGGTTCGATTCCCCACATAGGTACAATGTGTGATGCCCCTTTATAGTGTCTCCCGCTGTGATATTGCTGGAATATTGCTTGTCCTGAGAGGCAACCATTATTTACAGGATGGCATTGTATAGCGGCATTGCATCCAAATGAAAGAAATGCATTATTTCTAGACAAATATTGATGCATGTTGCAATTTCATGCTCTGGAGAATTTAAAAAAGATAACATAAAATTTGTATTTGACTGGGGAGGAAAAATATGTCTCCATAGTTAAGCATAATGTCCACCCACCAGGTTTGGGTATAGCTTTGGTGGAGCAGTTTGGAGAATGTGTACACGCTTGTGCTCAATGTGTGCTCAAAAATGTGTTTCTTCAGAAGTCTTGGCACAAGGAAGCCAGAAGTTGAAAACTTGGTCAGAATATCAATGCAGATGTAAATTTTGTGATGTAACCTTTTGCTTTCAATTTCAAACTACAGACTGGAGCGAGTGCGAGTCGGAAGCCAGTTATCAACGCTGGTGACGGGACTGGCGAACATCCAACACAAGCACTGCTGGATGTCTTTACAATACGAGAAGAGATTGGAACTGTCAACGGACTCACGGTGAGAACAAGATCTCTCCTAGCATGTGACATTTTTTGGCCATATCCTTGCTGTGACCAGTGTAGTACAGCTATTTAAACAATCTTGAAAAATATCCTCAAACTCAAAATGTATTGACGTATATTTTTATGTTATGTAGGAGGGAATGTCATTAAAGTGAATTGTGCACGATTTTCGTGGGTCTACTTTTCTTAAAATCAATTAATGTCTTGACAAGAAAAAGGTGTAGAAAGATTGGTTCGAGACTGTAGAATAATGAATACGTACTTCTACCTAGGTCTCATTCAAACTGCAATGGCTATATGATAGTTAACACGAAATAGAATGTCCACTTGACGAACATCATAACAATTAAGGGGGGGACATAAACATAATGGTCTGTTGGTTGGTGGACAGCTCCGTGCATGGTCGAAGCACAGCGGCGAGATGGTACTGGTGGCAGCGATAGTATAGAGAACTCCGGGAATGGGCTGTTGCTGTGAGAATTAGCAAGGGAGATTACTCTCCAGACCTTACATGAATCTTGATTGTCTGGAGAATGTGTTAGCTTTATGCAACCATGATGATTTATTGATTGACTTATGATTTTTTTTCATACCGATGATACCACTTAAAAATTATTTTTCAGTGCGTAATTATTTAAGAGTTTCAGTACACCATGTGTACAGTCAATTGTGCTAACAAGCATGGGTAAAACTTACATAATTACATATTAAGTAAGATAAAAACAAGTAAGGAATAAAGCTGTTTTATTTGAATAAACATGTTCACATCTTCATTGACAGTAATGTAGAATTTCGATACCAGTATGTCCTAAGCGTGTCCTGACAACATTCATTATCAAATCTCCATGTTAGAATGATGAGATCTGTTTAGTCCAAGTGATCTTGATAATTCAATCAATCTTTATTTGTACTTGAGACCTCAGGCCCATATACAAAGTATACAAAGTATACAAAATATACAAAAATACAAATTATACATCAAGGGCAATGGCGGTCTATCATATGTGTAATAAAATACAGTGTATCCCACCTTGGAGAGGAATAAGTTTCTCATCAGGGGAATAAGTCTCTTAGGTCCGTCACATGGATTTCAAGTGGATTTTTGAGAGGCAGAATATATCCTTAATACCCCACTTCAAAGCAAACGCCAGAGGGTCGTGGTATGAAAACTAACGTGGGACACATACAACCCGATGTACCCCTCGTGACCCTGCTACAACTTATAGTATTGCCAAGATAGTGAGAGATGACATCCTTAAGTTAATGAAAGACTTTGTTGATGGATGTAATAAAACAGGTGAAAACACCATTGACCAGCATTTCCTGCTTGACAGATAACCATGGTTGGAGACCTGAAGAATGGCCGCACCGTGCACTCCCTGGCCCGTCTGCTGACATTGTACCGTGTCAACCTCCGCTACGTGTCTCCACCATCCCTGCAGATGCCTGAGGATGTCCGCCAGCTGGTCCAGTCACGCGGCATCAGACAGGTACACCATATGATTAAACATTACTCATTACTGATCTAGTCTGTGAAAGAACCCTTCAATTATAATTATTTCATTGTGAAATTAGAGATCTATGACACATGAACTATAATTTGTGTGTGTGTGTCTGTCTGTGTGTCTATCAGCGTGTGTGTGTGTGTGGTGTCTGTTTGTGTGTGTGTGTGTGTGTGTGTGTGTGTGTGTGTGTGTGTGTGTGTGTGTGTGTGTGTGTGGTGTCTATGTTTGTGTGTTTGTGTGTGTTCTTGGTTCTATAATCCTGAGAATATGCTGTCTGTAGCTTTTGCATTTCCAAGGTTTGAAATTAAGTTTAAGAATGACTGCTGACATTTGCTTGTGGACGTGGGGTAGCCTAGTGGTTGAAGTGTTCGCTTGTCATTCTCCCAGGTTTGATCCCCAACATTGGTACAATGTATGAAGCCCATTGCTGGTGTCCCCCGCCGTGATATTGCTAATCACTCACTCACTCACTCACTCACTCACTCACTCTGAATGAACTCTGAATGAACTCTGAATGAACTCTGAATGAACTGTGAGTCCAGCACATATTTATAAAATGGACGTAGAGAAGAAATGTTGTTGGGACACACAGTTATATTCATGGTAAAACTATCTGACAAGAAATATTAAGATCCTGTAATTAAAATAATTCTCAACTCACTCATTCATTCACATCAGATTTGATCAAGTTATGCGACTTATTGACATTCAAACATGAACAAGAATTTGTTGGGTCTATCTGGATAAATCGATGACCATATTAGGTGTGTGAGTAACAGATGTCCCCCATGTGTAGTGGTGACATCGCAGATGTAACACTTGCAACAGATTCAAACTAGGTGTATAAATCATGTAAAGGCAATAACTTTATTAACTGAAACAAAGGCAGCGTGAACCATGTTACCGGGAGTAGTCCGATGATGGTTACATACATCGGCAAAGAGCTCGCCTCGAAGATTGGCAGTCTGGATGTCTCAGGATGTCAATTGATATTTATGATCAATTGGATTAAACTTTTTAAGTTATTTAGTTGTTGATAATAACAATACTAAGAGTATTTTGTTGTGCCAATGGTCAAGTGGCCAATACCAACCCCATGTATTTGGACTAATGGCCTTCCGTGGTGATTCAGAGGGTGCCCCAACTCTGACTCTGCTTGTTGTAAATCCCCATTCTATAAAATAGAGATCTTTTTGCGAAATAAGGGGAAAATATGGGGACATACAAAAATAATATTTGAACTAAAATGAGTGTCCCCCATGTTGGTGGGTGCCCATAATGTGAGGTATCTTTCCCAAATCAGGGGCTTTTTCTGTAAGAAATAGTGGCATGGTATAGTGAATGTTTAATTGATCAGAAAAAATCTGAAAAATGCTGTTCTATATAAAAGATGTCAGCCTTTTGACAGCCAGATCCCCTGGTTTTGTAAACGCTCTTGTGCAACAGCTTGTATTGAGCTCTTGTAACACGTGTTTGAAAATGTCCCTTTTCATATATTTTTGTTTTCAAGGATCTTTTCAGGAAGATATTCTAAATGCAAATTCTGAGAATAATCTTTTCATTCATGTGCCGTCTCCGTACTGGCAATGTTAGCCTATAGAACAATGAAAAAAAGTTCAATATTTTGAATTGATTAAAACACACGTGGATTGTGACACTTTGGTAGACATCTGTCAGCTTTGTGGTGTCAGGGATGCAGGCAGCACACCAACGGCTTGAGTTGATGTTTGGTGTTTGTTTAATGTTTAACGTCGCACTCAGCAATATTCCTGCTATATGATGGCGATCTGTAAATAATCAAGTCTTGACCAGACAATCCAGTGATTGACATCATGAGCATCGGTCCACGTAATTGGGATACATGTATTAACAAGTCAGCATGCCTGACCACCCGATCCCGTTAGTCGCCTTTTACAACAAGCACAGTCTCCTTAAATGGCAAGCATGGGTTGCTGAAGACCTATTCACCCCGGATCTTCACAGGAGTTGATGTAGGCTGTGACACCTTTGTGGTACCAGGGCTATGCACACACATATGTCGCTAAATAACTGCAGAAATCTTGAAAGCAATCTTAAACCCCATCAACTCAACCCAACCCAACCCAGCCCAGCCTGGAACTTCATAACCTTTTGTCTTCCTTCTGTGAATGTTAGGGATTTCCTTCTGTGAATGTTAGCATACTTGACTCACAGGACTTTAGAAAGCCTGTCCCTAGACTTAGTGACAGTACTCTTCGTAAATAACTGAATACATTTACATGTATTTGGGGGCTCTGGAGCAAGACAGGTCTCAAGTACCCCATGCTTGTCCCACCATGGGAATCTGGTGCAAGACATGTCTCAAGTACCCCATGCTTGTCCCACCATGGGAATCTGGAGCAAGACAGGTCTCAAGTACCCAAAAGCCTGTCTCACCATGAGAATCTGGACAAGACAGGTCTCAAGTACCCCATGCTTGTCTCACCATGAGAATCTGGACAAGACAGGTCTCAAGTACCCCATGCTTGTCTCACCATGAGAATCTGGACAAGACAGGTCTCAAGTACCCCATGCTTGTCCCACATGGAGCAAGACATGCCTCAAGTACCCCATGCTTGTCTCACCATGGAGCAAGACAGGTCTCAAGTACCCCATGCTTGTCCCACATGGGAATCTGGAGCAAAACAGGTCTCAAGTACCCCATGCTTGTCTTACCATGGAGCAAGATATGCCTCAAGTACCCCGTGCTTGTCCTACAATGGAGCAAGACAGGTCTCAAGTACCCCATGCTTGTCTCACCATGGAGCAAGACAGGTCTCAAGTACCCCATGCTTGTCTCACCATGGAGCAAGACAGGTCTCAAGTACCCCGTGCTTGTCTTACCATGGAGCAAGACAGGTCTCAAGTACCCCATGCTTGTCTCACCATGGAGCAAGACAGGTCTCAAGTACCCCGTGCTTGTCTCACAATGGAGCAAGACAGGTCTCAAGTACTCCATGCTTGTCTCACCATGGAGCAAGACAGGTCTCAAGTACCCCATGCTTGTCCCACCATAGAGCAAGACAGGTCTCAAGTACCCCATGCTTGTCTCACCCTGGAGCAAGACAGGTCTCGAGTACCCCATGCTTGTCCCACCATGGGAATCTGGACAAGACAGGTCTCAAGTACCCCATGCTTGTCCCACCATGGGAATCGGGAAAAGACAGGTCTCAAGTACCCCATGCTTGTCCCACCATGGTAATCGGGAACAAGACAGGTCTCAAGTACCCCATGCTTGTCTCACCCTGGGAATCTGGAGCAAGACAGGTCTCAAGTACCCCATGCTTGTCTCACCATGGAGCAAGACAGGTCTCAAGTACCCCATGCTTGTCTCACCATGGAGCAAGACAGGTCTCAAGTACCCCATGCTTGTCTCACCATGGAGCAAGACAGGTCTCAAGTACCCCATGCTTGTCTCACCATGGAGCAAGACAGGTCTCGAGTACCCCATGCTTGTCCCACCATGGAGCAAGACAGGTCTCAAGTACCCCATGCTTGTCTCACCATGGAGCAAGACAGGTCTCAAGTACCCCATGCTTGTCTCACCATGGAGCAAGACAGGTCTCGAGTACCCCATGCTTGTCCCACCATGGAGCAAGACAGGTCTCGAGTACCCCATGCTTGTCTTACCATGGAGCAAGACAGGTCTCAAGTACCCCATGCTTGTCTCACTATGGAGCAAGACAGGTCTCAAGTACCCCATGCTTGTCTCACCATGGAACAAAACAGGTCTCAAGTACCCCATGCTTGTCTCACCATGGAGCAAAACAGGTCTCAAGTACCCCATACTTGTCTCACCATGGAGCAAGACAGGTCTCAAGTACTCCATGCTTGTCTCACCATGGAGCAAGACAGGTCTCAAGTACCCCATGCTTGTCTCACCATGGAGCAAGACAGGTCTCAAGTACTCCATGCTTGTCTCACCATGGAGCAAGACAGGTCTCAAGTACCCCATGCTTGTCTCACCATGGAGCAAGACAGGTCTCAAGTACCCCATGCTTGTCTCACCATGGAGCAAGACAGGTCTCAAGTACCCAATGCTTGTCTTACCATGGAGCAAGACAGGTCTCAAGTACCCCATGCTTGTCTAACCATGGAGCAAGACAGGTCTCAAGTACCCCATGCTTGTCTCACCATGGGAATCTGGAGCAAGACAGGTCTCAAGTACCCCATGCTTGTCTTACCATGGAGCAAGACAGGTCTCAAGTACCCCATGCTTGTCTCACCATGGAGCAAGACAGGTCTCAAGTACCCCATGCTTGTCTTACCATGGAGCAAGACAGGTCTCAAGTACCCCGTGCTTGTCTCACCATCGAGCAAGACAGGTCTCAAGTACCCCATGCTTGTCTCACCATGGAGCAAGACAGGTCTCAAGTACCCCATGCTTGTCTCACCATGGAGCAAGACAGGTCTCAAGTACCCCATGCTTGTCCCACCATGGAGCAAGACAGGTCTCAAGTACCCCGTGCTTGTCCCACCATGGAGCAAGACAGGTCTCAAGTACCCCATGCTTGTCCCACCTTCTACGGGGACTCTGAGTTGTGTGTGTCCCCAGCTCCCCAGTGTTAGGCATGAGAGGTGACTAAATTGAGAACCCATCGGAATGCCAGGTTAGATGTGGTCTCAAGCAACCGTAAATAGTCGTAAAATGTAACCTAATGTATCAGGTTGTCAGACTCAGTAACGATGTTGATGACATGTTTCCGGACAGGGTGGTTTTTTGCTCATACTATCAATCACAGGAATGTCAGGTTCAAACTTGAATATTTACAGGCCGCCATTGTATGACTTGAATATTGCTGAATGCAGAAGGCAGTGTTAAACAGTCAAATAGTATGATATGTAATAAAAGCTCTCACTCACTCACTCACTCACTCACTCACTCACTCACTCACTCACCCGCACTCACTCACCCGCACTCACTCACCCGCACTCACTCACTCACTGTATACAATGGATCCTATTTGCCTGCGGTAAATTGTATGAATGAATTCCTCCTGAACACCTGGCCCTGACAGATGGATGGAGCCCCCTCAAGCTTCCAGTGTCACTCAGTGTATGCATAATTAGGTATTTCCGAGGAATCTATAATGGCAGTGCCGTAAACAGCGCATGTGAGAGGGGACTATCATATTTCTGTATCTCGAGCACAATTAACAAAAATAATTAATGTATTCATGTAATTTTAATACGTTTTATTTGCTGATGTGTGAAAGAGCTTCATGTAATAATAGGCTATTAATATTGCACATATTTCCACACCACTCATCGGCATGCTCAAAGTGCTATTTCATAACCAGCCCAGTGATGAAGAGCCATAGCATATGCCTATATTGGTAGGATTGACAGTATATGTTTAGTATGATTCACTGTAAATGTTTAGTTTTATTGATGGTATATGTTTAGTATGATTGAATGTATGTTTGATATGATTGACAGTATATGTTTGGTATGATTGACAGTATATGTTTGGTATGATTGACAGTTATGTTTATTATAATTGACAATATATCTTCAGTATAATTGGCAGTTATATTTAATATAAATGACAGGATATGTTTAGTATGATTGACAGTTCTGTTTCGTATGATTGACAGTATATGTTTAGTATAAATAACAGTTATGTTTGGCATGATTGACAGCTATGTGTGGTATGACTGACAAATATGTTTGGCATGATTGACAGATATGTTAGGCATGATTGGCAGTATATGTTTAGTATGATTGACAGTATATGATTAGTATGATTGACAGTTATGTTTATTAAGACTGACAGTTATGTTTGGCATGATTGTCAGCTATGTATGGTATGTCTGAAAGATATGTTTGGCATGATTGACAGTTATATCAGTATGATTGACAGTATATGTTTAGTAAGATTGACAGTATCTGTTAAGTATGATTGACAGTATCTGTTTAGTATAATTAACATTTATGTTTGGCATGATTGACAGCTATGTGTGGTATGTCTGACAGATATGTTTGGCATGATTGACAGATATGTTTAGTATGATTGACAGTATCTGTTTAGTATAATTAACAGTTATGTTTGGCATGATTGACAGCTATGTGTGGTATGACTGACAAATATGTTTGGCATGATTGACAGATATGTTAGGCATGATTGGCAGTATATGTTTAGTATGATTGACAGTATATGATTAGTATGATTGACAGTTATGTTTATTAAGACTGACAGTATATGTTTAGTATTATTGACAGTATATGTTTAGTATGATTGACAGTATATGTTTATTAAGATTGACAGTTTGTTTAGTATTGACAATTTGTTTGGTAAGATTGTTAGTTTATAGTTGGTAAGACAGACGGTTATGCTCGATATGATTGACAGTATATGTTAAGTATGATTGACAGTATATGTTAAGTATGATTGAGAGTATGTGTTAAGCATGATTGAGTGTGTGTTTAGTATGATTGACAGTATGTGTTAAGCATGATTGAGTGTATGTTTCGTATGATTGACATGTGTTTAGAATGATTGATGGTATATGTTTAGGATGATTGAGTGTATGTTTGATATGATTGAAGTTATGTTTAGGATGATTGACAGTATATGTTTAGTATGATTAAAAGTACATGTTTAGTATGGTAGACAATTATGTTCAGTATGATTGACATTATATATTTAGTATAATTGAAAGTAAACTGAAGTACAAAAGAAAGTACACACCCCTAAAATATCATATATTACGCATATGGTTGAAAAAGTTGTTACATGTTTGGCGCTATCGTAATGTAATGAACAAAACCAATGAGAGCATATCGCAGAAACGTAACCTTGACATTATGATAGGCAACAAAAGCACACATTGTGAAAATGGCAATTTACTCCATTTGCACGTGCAATGTGCGTAGAAACAGTATAAAAGGCAGTGGATTCTATCGTTCATTACACATTCAACGAAAAAAACACAAGACAAATGCCACGTTTAACAGCAGCGGAGCGAGAGAGAGCCGTGGGAATGTCCCAAGTGGGGGCGTCGAACAGTCACATCGCAAGGACCCTTGGCTGCACCAGGCAAACCATTATCAGACTCCTTCGTCGTGTCAACCAGACTGGCCAGACATCCGACCGCCCAAGAAGAGGAAGACCGAGAGTGACGACCCCTGCAGAAGACCGGTACATACGCACATTACACCTGCGCAACAGGTTCCTCACCATGGCATCAACAGCGTCGACAGCGTTAGGTCACCACATCAGCAGGAACACAGTCATGAGACGACTACGAGCTGCCGGTATCCGGGCTTATCGACCATTCCGTGGGATGACCTTGACCGCTCAACACCGTATCAGCCGTCTTCGCTGGGCAAGAAGAGTCAGAAAGTCGATTCAACCTCTACCATGCTGACGGTAGAGTGAGAGTCTACCGACGTAGAGGCGAGCGACTGGCTGGAGCATGTGTCCAACAAGTTCATCATTTTGGCGGAGGCAGCGTTATGGTTTGGGGAGGCATTTGCGGTGAACAGAAGACGGATTTAGTCATTCTCCACCAGACCCTTACAGCCCAGAGGTACAGGGACCAAGTGTTACAGCCGGTGGTGATCCCCTTCATGCAGGGGCAAAGGCAGGGGTTTCTTTTTCAGCAAGATAACGCCCGACCACACACCGCTAGACTCACTATGGACTTCCTGAACCGTCAGAACATTCAGCTTTTGCCTTGGCCGTCACGCTCTCCGGACTTGTCACCCATTGAACACCTGTGGGACCATCTCGGTAGACAGTTGCGACGACGTGCACAGCCACCAACCACCATACCACAGCTGGAACAGGCTCTGCGAGAAGAGTGGCAGCGGATCCCTAATGACGTCATCCGACGGTTGACCTTTTCCATGAGAAGGCGTGTCCTGGCTTGCATTAACTCAAATGGGGGTCATACGAGGTACTGAGACCACTCGCATGGCCTTCATACCTGGGACTGTCATCATTTCTACAAGTGTGATTTTTGATGAGTGACCGCCTATGGACGTTATTGTCAACTGAACAGTTTTATGTGGCCACAAATCTTTAAATCCATTCTATACATGTTTGAAAATGACTCAACAATGACATTAAACATTACAATCACAATAAAGTTTGCCCCGTCTTCTTTTACTGTCAGAATAGTGGGGTGTGTACTTTCTTTTGTACTTCAGTTTATATGTTTAGTATGATTGACAGTATATGTTTAGTTTGATTGATGGTATATGTTTAGTATGATTGAGTGTATGTTTGGTATGATTGACAGTATGACAGTTTGTTTGGAAATATTGATATTTATAGTTTGTATGACAGATGTTTATGTTTGGTAAGATTGACTATGGTTGGCATGATTGACAGTATATGTTTGGTATGACAAACAGTATATGTTTGGTCACATATTAGCTTAAATGTGAAATAATCTTGAATGCAACGTGAAAGCCCATTTTACCTCATTGTTTGATTGTGACAACAAGATTGACGACCATTTTACTTAAGCTCTTGCTGATACCAGTATGAGATGTGGCCAATGCCCCATGTGATGTCTGGGCACGAAGAGGCTCCCAGCTGCCTATGCTCGTAGCAAGAGGCGTCTTCATCGATGGGGTGGTCAGACTTGTTGACTTGGTTGAATGCATGTCATCATACACCACAGGGATGGATCATACCAATCACTGGATTGCCGGGGCCTGCCTCAATTATTTACATTATTTCAGCCTCATATACAGTAGCTGGAATATTGCTGACTGCAGCATTAGACAACAAACAAATGATATTGCAAATATTCCAGAAAAACTCAGGTGAGCTACAGAGCCTTGTGGTTGTGTTTACTGGCCCAGAGAGGTTAATACCCCCTGCCACGAAGTGTGCTATGGGGACAAGTCTTCTCAGAAACTACGGAAGTTACTTGAGTGAAAGTTTGCATGCTTATCTCAGAGATACTTGAAAAGACTGAGTTCGAGAATTGGTCCCATCAATTTATTTTTTACAAGGGTTATGGCCCTTGATCCATGTTATTTTACTGTGTGCATTGTGTGTTCAGTAGGGACAAGTTTTCACAGAAACTTCTGAAGTTACATGAATGAAAATTTGCATGCTAATCTAAGAGATACTTGTCAAGACTGAGTTCAAAAATTGGTCGCGTAAATTATTTTTTTTGAAGAGTTACGGCCCTTGATCCATGTTATTTTACTTGGTGAATAGTATCTGAAGTGGGAATAGTTTTCTCAGAAACTACTAAAGTTAGCTTATCTAAGGGAAGGGCCTTTTGTGTGTATTAATTTCACATTTAATCATTTTTCTGATGACATAAGGCAGCCCATCTCCTCTTAAGGCTGAATAGGACTCTTTTTCATAGTTTATATTCACTACTATATGAACAAACAAAATGTTAATGTGCCCCATGGTGGGGAATAATGATAATGCTGTTTTCTTGTTCAATCATGATATAAAATCTTGTCCTTGACCGCATTGGCAGGATTAAAGGAGGTCCTTAAACAGAACAGTAGGCCCTTGTGAAACAGATTTACTTATGAGCAGTGACAATGGCGGGGGAATGCAAAGATTGTGGATAGTACACATATCATGTTTGTTTTTTCAGGCAGATTTGTCAATCCAAATGCTAGAGCCAGGTGTTTCTTTTGTTAACTGTTTTATTTCTCTCTCAGGAGGTGTTCAATTCCCTGGAGGAGGCCCTGTCGGACACTGACGTTCTGTACATGACGAGGATACAAAAAGAGAGGTTTACGTCCCTTCAAGAATACGAACAGGTAACCTGAGGATTCTTCCAATTGTCATTAGCGGATGTCATTGTCTTTCTGACCATGTTAACAGTTCTGTTTTCTGTATTGAATTACATGCTTAACTATGTATATCAAAACTGGTTTATGGACAGCCCCCTGAATTTCCTATGATTGTCCTTATTATATACAAATTGTTTATTACAGGGATGTGAAATCTCCACAAAAACGCGAAAAATTGGTTTTTTTAAAACAGTAGTCCTCAGAAAAAATATAATCAAAGATTTTTTAAAAATACTCCGAAAATTATCATCCTGTTTCCGGACAACCGTCACAGATTTGTATGGATTTTAGTTTTCGACCGGAAATGACATCAGCTTGTTTTCCCACGTTTTGAATCTAGGTGCTCTTCGGTAAAACGTCACTGATTTCTCAGGCAAAAACAGGGCACCCCTACTTTTGATAATGATGAGAATGATTTATGTAGTAGTATATATGCTTTATTTACATGCTTTTTTATGTTATGTTCTAGTATATATACATATGTTTTCCTTGGGCAGGGACACAGTCTATTGTCCGCAGAAACATTCTTGTGATGTTGGCTGCCGGCAGAAAGGGGAGATCTATAATATATATGAAATATCGGAAAATATCTATAAAATTGCTATTCATGTCCTACTTACTAAAATAAATATTAAATATATAATATACCTATAGAAATTAAAACTTTACGGCATGTGATGTTTTCACATTAAGTTTAGTTGCGCCTCCGAATCAGTCAGTGAGTAAATTGGAGTAGAGGCTAATTTCTAATATAAACTTGTTTTCAGGCGATTAACATTTCACAATTTATTGTGTTTGCAAGTGACCATGTGAGTTTAATTTCATTGATTTTCCTTCAAAGCATGTGATGTTTTCTCAATAAGTTGAGTTGCGCCTCCCACGTTGGGAGTAAAATGGAATAGATTGCTAAATTTCTAATGTAAAAGTGTTTTAGCATTTCAGGTTTATTTTTGTTTGCAAGTGACCATGTGAGTTTAATTCATGACCTTCAGTACCAAGGTTAAAAAGAGATAAGCCTATTTCAATATTTTACTGAACAAATTTGATTAGACAATGAATATTAAAATATTCCACTTCCTAGTTTATGAGGAAACATATCAAAGGACAATTTTCAAGAAATTCACATATGAGGTACTTCATAATGTCACACATCACTAATACTCTGGTATTTAGGAAACAAATTTGATTACACAACGAATGACAGAGTATACATATTAAGTGATGTGTGACACAATGTGAATGTCTTAAAATAGTTCTGTGATTTGTTTCATCATAAGCTAGGAAGTGGAATATTTCAATATTTAATAAAATGTTTTATGACCTTTTTGTTATTGTTCATGATTCATTGGTTAAATGCTAGGTAATTATTGAACATTGAGAAGGTATGGATGTTGTTAAAATGTACGACATTGCTTAAAATGCAATCAAATGTTCAAAACATTTTTGGGGGGAGCATGCGCCAAGAAAACCTGCTCACATCGGTCCCTGTTAGGAGCTGCATTGAAGCCAGAATCATCACAGTGTCTCATTTGCTAAGTCATGTAACCATGCATTGTTTCCTTCAAGTTGTGATTTTCACGGGTAAAGCATGAATGTAAAGCTTGGCACTTTGATTTTAATCAGTGGCTTATGTTCAAGGTCATTTCATTGTAATCCAATAAATTAATGTTGCCAAAGTCTGATTGGTAGGCCTCCAAGATCGATCTGTCAAACAGGATTTCTAAAGATTGATCGAGTTCTTGCTATGAAGGTTATCTTGTGTATGAGAAGCCGGATCCTATTCTTTGAATCAAGTCTCTGTGGGTCATAGACACACATGCTCTGTATCATGCAATGCCCCAGGCAAGGACACTGTAGCTCACCTGATAAGAAGGTTAGCTCACCTAAACCATCTGATAAGGTCAGCTCACAGTGTTGGTCTGACATTTAGTATGGCCACCATAACAGCCATATTGGATTCCAAAGCCAGGACTTTTCTCTGAAACAGTCTGCAGTACTGCTGTTTGAGCTGCTGTATTGGGGTACTGTTGTCTGAGTGAGCTGCTGTATTGTGGTACTGTTGTCTGAGCTGCCGTGTTGTGGTACTGTTGTCTGAGTGAGCTGCCGTATTGTGGTACTGTTGTCTGAGCTGCTGTATTGTGGTACTGTTGTCTGAGCTGCCGTGTTGTGGTACTGCTGTCTGAGCTGCCGTGTTGTGGTACTGTTGTCTGAGCTGCCGTGTTGTGGTACTGTTGTCTGAGTGAGCTGCTGTATTGTGGTACTGTTGTCTGAGCTGCTGTATTGTGGTACTGTTGTCTGAGCTGCCGTATTGTGGTACTGTTGTCTGAGCTCCCGTGTTGTGGTACTGTTGTCTGAGCTGCCGTATTGTGGTACTGTTGTCTACATGCAGAACTTTCCAGTGGTTTAGGTAAAACTAGAGGATGATTTCTTGGCTTTGTTCAAATCATCTCCCTCCAAATAATAGTTAGTTTTCACTGGTAACCATATTCAAACTTTAATTTTTAGCATTTGTCCTTCATTGACAGAGATTGTTTCATAGAATTCCTCCTGTAATTCCTGCAAGTGCTCTCCCCGGGATTGTCCCTCACTGTATCAAAATCAGTCAGAGGTGGATGAGCTACTGGCCCAATTTCTCGAAACAAACTCAAGTTTTTTCTCAAATTACAAACTGAGTTTGAGTAAAATGTTGAACTGAATAGTGTTTCTCGGGAAAAAGTTAGCAAAAACTCAGCATCTGAGATCGATCTGTTTGTTTTTTGTTGCGATATGCGCGGTATTTGATTTCCATGACTAATGTAAACACGGAAGCTGTGAGCACATTTGTTCATCTGCTGACGTCTGCTGACATCTACACGATTACTAAATCAAACTGGACCGAGGAGGAGAAGGTGGTACCATGTCAACAAAATTCAAGATCGTCTGTTCTGCAAGTTCAAAGGTTGCTGAATTCTGAAAGGATGAAGAATTTAAGAAAAAGCCTGGGACGAGATCCTGGAGGCCTAAAACGAGTACGTCACAAGTAGCCGATCAGATATTTTGCTTGTACTGTTGATGCTACAGGCCTATTCATGGCATCTTTGTGATGAAACTTGAGGCGATTAAATAAATAAATTTTGTGTAACAAAACTTGCACCAAGCGAATTGAAGTGTCTCGATTGCCTTGATAACATGAAGTCTTACAGTTTTAGTTGAAGCCATTTCAAGAAAATAACTTTTGTTTGTTGTTAAGCACCACACTCAGCAATATTCGGGCTATATGATGCTGGTCTGTAAACAATCAAGTGAAGACTTGACAATCCAGTGATTGATACCATGAGCATCAATCCACACAATTGCGACCCAACATGCATCAACCAAGTCAGCGAGCCTGACCACCCGATCCCGTTAGTCGCCTCTTACGACAAGCATAGTCACCTTTTAGGGCAGGCATGGGTTGCTGAAGACCTATTCTACCCTAGATCTAACAGTTATCAACATCATAGATAGGGAAATATATTTGTGAAATGTCTAAGTGGTTGAAAGCAATATGCCATATTTATCATAATTATGAAAAAGTTAAAAAGAAAAATGAAAAAAAACCCAGGTTAATATGATTAAATATGTTAACAATTCAAGAATCATAACAAAAGGACAGATATTCGTTTATAGCTATTCCATTTTCATTGCATCAATATGATTTATAGAATTCTTAAATAAATGGGTGAAATGCAGCTACAAACATGTATCTATGATGGCCAAAGTGGTTGGGTGTTGCACTTAACTTGCAGGGGGGGCGGTCGGGTAGCCTAGTGGTTAAAGCGTTCGCTCGTCACGCCGAAGACCCGGGTTCGATTCCCGACATGGGTACAATGTGTGAAGCCCATTTCTGGTGTCCCCCGCCGTGATATTGCTGGAATATTGCTAAAAGCGGCGTAAAATCATACTCACTCACTCACTCACTTGCAGGTAACACGGAGACGAGTGGTGTAATAGTGGATCTTATTTACATATAATTACTCGTTCTCTGTTACAATCTGTGGTTTAATGTCAATGTCCATTATTAAAAATTTGATTTATTGTGAATAAAATTAAATAAAATATGTCATCAACAAGGATCTCTAGCAATTTAGTGCACCTGATGAAGGCAAGGAGCCTGAAAGATTGAGATCACGTATTCTTAATTAAAAATAAAAACAATCAATTTCCTGCCTATGAATTGCACCGCAGCAACTTTATCAAATAACTGCATGACCCGGGGACATGAACCATTCATATATATTCATACATATTGATTTAGCAACTGGGTAAGACATAATGTATTAAAAATATGGTGGAGCATATTTCCAATTTCCTGTCCGTGATTGTAAGAAGTAGGACCCCTGAAGATCCGGGGAGGAATAGGTCTTCAGCAACCCATGTTTGCCGTAAAAGGCGACTATGCTTGTGGTAAGAGGCGACTAACGGGATCGGGTGGTCAGGCTCACTGACTTGGTTGATGTATGTCATCGTATCCCAATTGTGTGGATCGATGCTCATGATGTCAATCACTGGATTGTCCTGTCCAGACTTGATTATTGACAGACTGCCGACATATAGCTGGAATATTGCCACAAACAAATGAAAGATGTTGTCATTTCCATTACTTTAAGAGTAAACTATGTTAAATTCCTTTCTTGTCTTTGTATTCAAAACAGATCTTTCATTTTAGACTGAAAGGTATATCAGAGCTGCAATGAATTTCACAAATGTTATATTTGGGAAAACACTTTCTTAGTAAAGTACAGATTCTCGTACTTTTTGGGGTTAGTCCCATCCCGGATTCAAATCCACACTGCCAGAGTGAGGCCAGAGTGAGCAGTAGCTGTGTCTGGGGTCCCGAGATTTGGAAGGACATGGTGCCAAGAGCATGATGCCAAGAGCTCAGACAATACTAAATAATCTACATATCCAATTTCATATATGTGTTTACATCTCGGCTTCCTAAAAAA